CATTTAATAGCAGATATTATGAATTTCCGAGCAGGAACCTACTCTATACATATGTCTACAAGCAGTTTAAAACTGGTCACTAACTACAGTTCTGCGTAGTTCAAACTATATTTTATTCATGCACCTGAGCACAACACACATTATACAGGATGATTCACCAAGCATGCCCACCACAATTTTTTCTTCAATAATGAATTTACTAAAATTCTAATTTTTGGAAGTTTTTAAATATACTTAAAGACAAAATTTTGAAAAAAATTGTATTAATTGAGGAGTATTCCTTGGCGATACAAACTTTTGTTTTTTAAATGAGAATCCCCTATTTTTATTTAAAATTATTTAGTAGATAGTGTTTTAGAACATTTTTAGGTACTCCCTTGAACCTAATTAAAAATTCAAACGAGTAGTTTCTTTGATGTTAAAATGTTTATACCCAGGATAAAAGTCCTTAAAAAAAATCGAGGACCGAGGGGGGAACTGCTGTTGGCATTACTTCTCCTTTGGGGTACACAGACGACAGACCTAACACTGATCATTTTATTCATACATTAAAATCTACCACATAAGATGTAATATCGACTTTTCTTCAGTTGTTCGATAAACTTCCGCGCTTATGCATTGAACTAGCTTCCGTGATTCCACACCTATTTTTAATTTGAACGAGAAAGTATCTATTACAGCTTGGAAGTCGGTATATGGAGTAAGACTTCATAATATATATTTATTATATAATATCCAATCTATGAGAGGTATTATTAATTGAAAATTATAAATGAATATCAAACGGGTGACCTAAAAAGGCAATTGCTTCCCCCCTCTTATAATATTTGTAATTATTCTATTCAGGTACAGGTACTCATATAAGTAGAGGAACTTTTTGTCTCAAACTATAAATATAATTAATTATGTTCATTACATATACCTATATTGAGACAATGAGTTCGCTCCTTGGGCTTAAACTTGGGTTAAGTCTGCATATGAAAGATCGTTGAAAATTTACAATAAATTAAGTCAATGGTCATGTGCGCGTGAACTCTAAAAGTTCTAAAACTGGTCAAAAATCAAATATTTTAAAATAATTAAACCACAATCGATAAGATCTCGCCAATCGCACAAATATAATCTGATTAAAATTGTTCTTTTGACACTATCAAAATAGACAATTTGTAAATCTGGTTTTTAGAAAACTCTTTTGTAAAATCATTTATTGAATTCAATTGGTTTATTTTTATAATTTTTCATAATGTCAAACTTTTCTAAATAGGACTTGGTTATTTAAAAAGTAATAACTTAAAAAAAATATATTTAGATTTTAACAAGTGTCTATTTAAAAATTATCAAAAAAATCATTTAAAAAAGTTTGTACTTTTTGAATGTAAAATATTTTTTTACGACTGGATTGACTTCATTCCACGAAAAATAAGATTTCAAACAATTGGAAAAAGATAAGCGACAAGACTTGAATAAATGTTCTAACAATTCAAATTTTTCTAAAAACTAGACTTACAAATTTTCTATTTTAAATTTTTCAAAAAAAAAAAAATTATATTTGATTTAAAACTTTTTGTATTTTCAGTTTAAAAAATTTAAAAAAGTTCTAATGTAAGTGCGTGTACAGCATGCATCTGTAATCAAATAAAGATTAGAACAAAAGTTATTTCATTGGCTGGTATTCTTGTTATACCCTGTATATAGCCACGAAGGTTTATAAATTATACCGAACATGGAAAGTAGACGCAAAGATGCATACAAATATAATTAACTAATAATCTTATTAGAGTCTGCAGGGACCAGCGTCAAAGTCTCAGACGGACTTTCATAGTTATATAAATAAAATGTATCAATATTCTATATATATATAATATATTCATGTTTTACCTCTTATTATTTGACGTTAATGAATTCCTTTCCTACTTGCGAATATTTTGTACATAACATCATCAATATTTTAGAGATTCTTTTCGTTTACTCAGCCAAGATTCCAACAAAATACCACTTACCTGCTTATAAGTTAGAATGTATAACTAAGGATAGGATTTTCTCTATTTACGGACTGTTATTACTGCAGTATACTTTACGTCAATAAATGAAAGAGGAGCATCCATAATTTTAAAATAGATTAAATAAAGTTATTTTGTATGTAAGCAAAATCATTGTTGTTAGTATATATTTCAAATAAACCCATACCACTTTTACACTTGTCTTCGTAAAAAACAAAATTACTTGTATTTTGTTATTGAAATTAAGAACGTAATATGACGCGGCATCTAGCGTTTTACAATACTTTCGTTGAAATGTACCATACAACATGCATTGTTCCTTTGTCAAGTTAAAATATGCAATAATTATATGCATTCTACTCAATAAATACGTCAAATAAAAAATAGATTACTTGTATTAATATTCGTGAGGATTTTACTAACCACATTTTTTAAAGGGCGCTGTAAAAAACCTTACAATGCACATAAATTCTACCGCTAACCGTAGCTGGTAGGTATAAAAATATTCCGACGAGTTGCGGAAGTTACTTTGATCGTATAGTAATCCGTCTAGACTTTATAGTATCAATAATGACCGTTGGGCTTATTATATAGTTATCAGTTTATAACTTAAATAATATTATTATTTTTACGTATTTTTAGGACGCAACATTCGGATTTGTCGTCTCCGTTTTTCAAGTATACCGAATTATTTTAATGTTGAAGCCATAGTTAATAGTTATATATGCTTAAGATAATTTTGAATTTTGAATAGTTTACACAATATAATATATTAAAATACATTTTCAAAATAAAATATCGAAAATACATCTTTAACGCGGACCATATTGATACCATGATACGTTTAAGTTTCATAGTTAGTCGAAATTGACTATTACAACAGAAACTTTTTTTTCATATCAACTTATTTATTAAAATAATAACCAAGCTATAAACGTGGACTGCTGGATACGGTAAGTTCATGATGTTAGTACCTATGTGGACATGTGGTTATGTTACGCACTTGTATCTATGGATGACCATAGGCATTTAATGTATAGGAGTCATGTTCGGTATTGGAGGATTATTCTGAATACCACCTATAGGCCGTAGGTACCATGACGTTATATGCAGGGGCCCAGGCCAAATCTTAACCTGATCTAACTGGATAATATACATACCAAATGTCCAAATCAGTGTTAACAATTTAACTTGATGTAGAAGTATAATATTTGAATATAACAATAAATTGAGCTCGTTGAGTTGTAATTCTATAATATAGAGACAGGGAGTGCTGAGTCGTGCTATATGGAGGCGGAAGGACACGATATTGGTCAATTGATATAATTTTTTTATTATTACGACGTATTACAAAATACCTGATGATATGTTTACTGGCTAATTGTTGAGCATTATTGTAACGATTACATAATTTCAAACCATGATCTTATATAGGTATAAATAGGTATAGTAAAGACATTTTTCTTTTTAATTAATAGCAAATAGCAATGCTATTTAGTATTAATATATAGCGATGATATTAAATGCAATGTTAATATAACTGAGCACCGTTATCGAACGTGTGACAACCAATCGCGACATAAAACAGCACATTATAAGTCAATTGATCGTAAATAATTGGCCACATAACAATAAATCGCAATCAATTTACCGAACCACAAATTATAGTAGATACGAATTTGTCGTAAAATTATAGATCATAAATCGACAATATTGTATATTTGTATCTTATTTGAACTAAGTATTGCCGTTATTTCACAATGTCCAGCTAAATATGATGCAACTGAAAGAAAGACGCTTGACAGTTGTCACTATCTTTCGTCACTGTTGTAAGTTGCGATAAATATTGTATCGGTAAATTTATATTGTGATGAATTATTTTTGCAAACCAATTGTCGCGTGTTAAATTGCTTAAGATGCAATTACGGTTAGTTTATTTCCTTTAATAAATCGTTTAACCATCCTTTCAACATTCAACTTTTATGCATAATACCTAATTGTCATCAAAATGATTAGCTAGAATTCATTTAGTTTTTTTAAGATTCAAACGATTATTAAAGTTTTAGTGAAATTTTAAAAACTCATAATTAAAATAATAAAAAGTAAATGTTTATGAAATATGCATCCTCGATGATAATTGTATTATATTATATATTATTTAATTATTTATAAATTTTCGTAACTTGGATTTGATTAAAACTAACTCGTTATTTATTAGTTTATATCAATAAAAATCAATTCAGTTAAAAATTAAGTTGTTGAAAATAGGCTTGCCAAAGGTGATCATCGGGGCTCGGAAGTTCTAGCAAATGCATATTTTTATTGATTCGTCCTAGAACATCCAAAGTAAGATACAAATATGTTTCATACTTCTCTGATGTCATACACGAAATTTAATTTTGCTATTTTTTGCATATTTACGGCTTTTATTACTATTTTGCTAATTTTAGGTTTTTAGTGCTATTTATGATCACTGATCATTGTACACATCATTGTAAATTCTATACATTCATCGTTCTTCTCAGAAATAAGACAGTGCAAATCCACGAAATAAACTAAAAAATAATAAGAATATCAACTACCCATAATAATGTATAAAACATCAATTATAAGCAAGAACTAATATGTTTTCAACGTGGATGTTGAAAATTGTTTACAATTTAGTTACACCGTCTGCACTCGCCACTCGTACCATATTGTTTTTAGCTGAAACGGAAGTCAAACACATTTTTAAATTTTGGCGGAGAGGAATGGGAATCGCAGGCCGCCATTCAAAATTAGTGGTCGACTGGTCGCCCGAGGGGCGTAATCATGGACGAAACGATTACTGCCGTCGGGTTATAGTCCACAAGATAGGGTTGCGCGCGCATAGCATATCCGGTGGTGTCAGTTTGTGCGGTCTGTCCGGTGCGATATTATTGTGCCATCTGTTCCTCCACCCAGCCCGACAGTTGTTTGTTAATACACCTTTTCGCTTTTATTTCTCTCTCTCACTCACTCGCTCGGCACTCTCAACGTTTACGTCGATTTTTTTTTGTCTCCCCGCGCGCGCATGTAATCATCGTCGCGACGACCCGCCGCCGACTCACCTACACAATTAAAATGGCGGAACGTTATCAACACAACAGAAGATGTCATTGACGCTTTCCGTTGTTTACGATGCTTAATCCGATTCTATAGGTAGGTAGTTTTTCCGTCCGTTTGTGATCGTTGCTGCACCCAACTTTAGCGCGTTCGACGAAGTCTAGGGACGACGATGCGCGCGCGCGCGTCCCAAGTATTTTGGACTTCTTGCCATCGGACGGTCACAACCACTGCTCGGCCAGCGGCTGCTTCGATTGTCATCTGTGCGTGACCGTGCGTAATTTAGCCATTTCCCGAAGTCGCTCAGGTCTTCGTGTTGCAAGTTAATGTTAAAAAGGTAAGTGGACCAGCGCGCGCGGAATGTCGTCCGTGGGTGTCCATCACACATAGTATACTTATAGCGCCGTTGTTGTTGATCCCAGGTACAATGACAGTCTCCAGCCAATAAGATTGGTGACGGACCATCTGACCGAACGGCTGAACCTTGACAGTGCATGCGCATTGCCGTTAGCCAATTCAGGTTCTGCGTACTTCGAACCGAAACCGATCAAACCGACAAAGAAGGGCCGGCCTGCGACTGGACAACATATTCGGCTTGCGGCCAAAAAAAATAACCAGAATGACGTGACAACGATGAGCAACAATCTCATGTTTCGAAGTATGTTTTTTATGAACGAAGAAGCTAGACATTTCTTGGCGCCGCCTATACAATTGTCTACGACTGACGGAGAGTATTTCACACGCAAAACTGGAAATCCAAATTTGAATACTCACCATCAACAGCAACAGCAGCAAGCCGTTGCAGCACTCGTCAATCACGATTCTAGTTCTAGTGTTGAAATCAAACCATTACAAGTAAGATCCTATTTAAATGCAGTGCTTATCAATCGACTAATCCTATTGTAATTATTTAGCCACCGAAAGCACGTCCTCACGGGTGTGAAGAGTGTGGCAAAACGTTTCTAATGAAACATCATTTGTCAACTCACATGCGAGGTCATACTGGTGAGCGTCCTCATATTTGTCCTGAATGTGGGAAGACTTTTGCTCTCAAACATTGTCTAAGTACTCATTTGCTATTGCATAGCTCGGAACGACCATACAAATGTTTAGAATGTAATAAAAGTTTTACCTTAAAACATCATTTGGTTAGTATTTATAATATGCAGTTATAATATTATTATTTCACTTGATTCTTGTTTATAATGTATGACAATTATTATCCTTTAGGTAAGCCATGAAAGAGTTCATACTCGAGATAGACCATTCGAGTGTCCTGAATGTCGTCGTAGATTTCCTCAGAAACGTCATCTGACCACTCATATAAAATTCCACTCTGGTGAACGACCATACTCTTGTTCTGTAAGTGTTCTTTTGCTTGTTATGGATCTTTCTGAATGATATCTTAAATTACTGATCAATGCTTATAGGTTTGTGGTGAGACTTTCTCGCGTGAAGAACATCTAGTCATGCATTCAAGATTCCACGGTGGAACACAACCATTTGTATGTCCAGACTGTGGAGCTGCATTCTTGCGTAAATTTGAATTGGTCAACCATGAACGGCAGCATGGCCGCATACCTGAATCTTGCCCAGCTTGTGGTAAAGAGTTCTTACAGAGACGCACATTATTGGTTCACGTAAGAAACTGTGGCCTTAACTCATCAACACCAGTACATAGATCTCCTTATACCGCAACTGCGAGCAAAGCATGCCGGTATATATTGATTGATTTTATGATTTAATAAATAAAATATTGCTGATATTAATGTTCATAAATATATTTACAGTGAATGCGGTGAAACATTTGCTAGTGACGAAGGACTAGCACTTCACATGCGATTACACATCGGTGACCATAGTTTCCTATCTGATATTTGTAGTCTAGCTGCTACATTGAAACAAAGTGTACAAGGTGTATCAAATGGTATTGCTAATGTACAAAATCATCACCAAAATCAACATCAATCTGGTGTTGTCGCCAATAAGAAATCTCACTATTGTGGAGATTGTGGCCGTGGTTTTACCCAAAAACATGGCTTACAACAGCATCACGTAAAATACCCAAATGCCACTTGTAAAGACAAGCCTTTTGCTTGTCAAAAATGTGGTAAAAGTTTCATGCAAAAAAATCACCTTGTACTACATGAACGACAACATATGGATCCACCACCGTCCAGAAATCGTAATGCTACCACTTCAGCTGTCCAATCCATACAACATTTACAGACTGAACAGGTTGGCTTGCAACCGACTCCTCTTCATACGACTATCCTGGGACTACAGCCTATTAGGCATATTCAATCTGGTAGTCAACCTCAACTTTTAAGACATCCCAGTGAGGCCCATTCAGGGTCATAATAACTGCCTCGTTTTATACTAAGATTTTTTTTTCAACGAAAGCTATATTTTCTTATCAAAATTGCAGTTATTCATTGATTTTTCTTGAACTCTAATCCCATGATAAAATAGCAGTGGTAGGGGTTTTATTCATCAGAGTATACGTTAAATATATTTTGAATACCTAAATGTATTATTTTATGCATGAATGCAAATCAATTTTAACATTTATTTTTGAACTGAAAGAAAAGAGCGTCATCAGGATTTATGCGTTTGTTTTTTTTTTTAATTAGTTTTTTTTTTTTGCTTGCTCTTCAAGTAATTTATTTACTTAAATATCAAATCTATTTAATTGTATAATTAATTATATTAAAAAAAAAAAAAAAATTAGTTTCATTATTACAATTAGAACTATTTTATTAAATTGTATTAATATTAACATGAATATAATATTATAATATGTATTATCATTGTATGCTGCACTAAAAAGTTCACTGACGGCTAAATTGATTTTCAATCCATACAAATCAGCGTAGCAAAAATTGGAAATTAATTTTTTTGCAGCTATTCACTTGGAAAGAATTTCTTACTTATATATTTGTTTGACTATTTAAGTAAAATACGTCCTCATGTCGAAAGTACAATTAAGTACCAACCATACTGTGAGTTTGTAAATGTAGTGATTTTTTTTCTTAATTTTTTTTTCCATACCTAATCAAATTTATATAGGTAGACTTATTAGACAAGAGATTACATTAAATTAAGTTATCTGAATCTTATATTAGTGTGTAAAATATGAACATATATGTGTGTATTATTTTTCAATAAATAGTAATACGCATGCATTGAATTGTAATAAGTAAAAAAATCCCAAGTTTTAATGGGTGCTACTAATATGATGTAAAAATACTTAAATGATAATTTTATTTTATTTTATTTATTTATTTTTTTTTTACCGTCTTGTACCAATTAATTGTAAATACTTAACATTAAGTAATATAAATATTATATATATTTGGAGCGTATTAAAATATAGAAAAAGTTAGCACATTTTAATATTTTTAATTTTTTATGTTTGTAAGAAAGATCAGTTTTATTTATCTATATAAACATTCCATTTGTTGGTCTTAATAAATTGTATAATTTTAGTCGTATATTGTGTGGGGGAACAAATTGTAATGATAGATCATCGCCTTATTAGAGTTAGGAACACTAAACAGTAAACAATATATAAGATTATTATATTATCTGTATAGATATATGTTTTCTTCGTGACAATGATCCGTTTTATATTACACTGCAGTTAGAATGCTGGCAACTAACTATATTTTACTCAACTTTTAAGCAATTGAATGTATATTATTAAATTTAAAAAAAATATATTGATATGAAACTTAAATTTTTTTACTGTCGATCAATCGAATTAATGAAGGACAAAAATCTTAATATAATATACCTATTGCATAAAAAGTATTTATAGATGCATAATGCATTTTAAATCTATTTAAAAATTATAAATTGAGACATTAACTGTGTTTCAGCTAGGAGACTTTCAGTGTTCAATTCAGACACTATACAGGTACGGTTTAAATAATAAAAATGAACTATAAGCATACCCAAGTAGTAAATATTTTATTTGTAATAATCCTTGTAAAAATACTAAATGCATTATAAATATTAAATAATTTAAATCTAACAATAAAAAAAAAAATGTATTAGAGTATAAGCTTTTGTCACAACTCAGTTTATGTCTTCAGTCTTAAAATAAAAAGAAATCATTTGAGCATACTTGCTTCAACGTTTTAGTTTGTCACCAGTTCTGTAAAATTAAGTAACAATAATTAAAATGTTGTAATGAAATGAACCTCGATCACTTACTTGAAACCAAACTTAGACAACAGAGACTGACTATTTTTCCCAGCACTTTTAGATAATCCGGTCCTTGGACATGACCGCTTTCCCTGTTTAGGAGTCACATGAAGAGAACTGTTAGATTCTTTTGTACTCTGACTACCAAATCCTTCATCAATATCGTTATCATGGTCGACCTGTTAAATTTAATGATTTTGTAGATGGTAGTGTAACATGTTTTATAAAATATAAAAAAATTGTTGACATTATTGTTGATTTATAAGAAACGTGTACTTATTATATATTATTTTAAAATGAAAATATTTTCCTAAATAATCTAAATATTTTATTTCAATAGATTTTATGTATTTTAATTTATATGCATTTTTCTATAAATGAATAATCATGTATAATTTGTAAAACACGAAATAATGTAAAGCCAGTATAAGAAAACTGTATTGAGAATTCTAATATTTATGATTTTAAACCAATAGTTTTAAGTATATTTTAATTTTACATTTATAAGTTTATAACTATAATAGTATAATATCTAATAAAACATCAAATAAATATTAACCGTTTCTAAAATAAATTGAAACTTAATAATATTTAATATGTGACTAGTGGTCGGGACACTACTGGTTTTATGCACCACACTAATGCTACAGTCACTCCAAAAAATGTAGCACTGTAGCTACTTTAAATGCAATTTTTTAAATAAAGCTTGGTCCTTTTTTATTTAATATTCCGATTGGAAGTTGAAAGTTATTAATTAGACTGATTGATTTGACTATGTCAGTTAATCGTGGATTAAACACAAAATATTAACTAATACACTCATCGATAATCTATAATATAAATAAATAAAATAATTATCATCAGAGCTTGATAGCATTTGCTTATTTTTATGGTTTGACATAAAATCTAGCAGAGTGCTAGTAAGTGTATCATATTGTATGCCATGTCAAAACACGTTCAATTATGAAAATTAAATGTGCTTTATTCAAAGAATTTTAAAACATGCTTATTTACAGTTTTCCTGATTATTTTTGCTTTTTGGCACATCTCTGCTAAATTATGATTTATGATGACACTTGCCACCGACAAACCCCTAGAAATTTCAGATTATCATAAAACTATGGTTATTATAGTATTTTAATTATCACCAAATAGGTTGTATATTGTGACAAAATAATGATAATTTTGGATACCCTAACTTAAATTTCTAAGAGAGCTATAGTATTTTGCTATATAAGGTCATAAAATAATTAGGTGTATTGTTAATAGGTTAATCTTTAGACATAAAGTGGCGTCACTAAAATTAGTGAGCTACTCCTGACCACTGCATGTAAGGTAACATTCTTACTCTTTTAGTATCATCGATTACTGAAAATGTATCATTTGTAATATTCTGGTATTTTTGTTCTTTACTGTGAACTTCTTTATTTGTAACCATTCTATTATTTGAGTAACTCTTCCAACTAAAGGCTGTTTGAATTTGATTAGACAGTTTTTTATTTAATATTTTTGTGTCGACTTCCTCGTTTTCAAGACATTGTGGTATATTTCCTTCATTAAAATTGCTAGAATTTAAAGAGGTATTTAAATCCTCATTAGTATTCTTATTTTTATGTATGGTTATCTTGCGAGATTTAAATGGATTTATTGATTCTTCTTCAAGGACTTCGTTTATTTTGGGTGTTTGAGGAGAAAAGTAACTATAAATAAATAATTTTTTTTAAAATTTAGATGAATAATTTAAAAGAATTTTAATAACTAACCCACTAACTATTTGAACATCTGGGTCTATAACTGTATACTTTCTTTTAGTTAGTTGTTTTAAAAACGAAGGTGACTCATTTTCCTCTGTGTCTGATTCTCGTTTAAAAAGTTTATCTTTAATTTTACAATCTTTGATGGATGGCGATTTTGTAGACTGATGTTTTTCTTCAGTAATAATGTCAGATTTTTCCAAAATGTTTTCGTTTTCATAAATTTCATCAAGAGTACTTAGTATATCATCTTCAGTCACTATAAAAAATATACTTATTATGTATAAATTAATCTACGAGTCTGTGCCTATATTTGAATAATAAATACCGGGTAGACGTTTTTTTATAACAGGTGGTTGATGAACTAGTGATGACCGAGTGACAATTTTGGACACCTTAGGACTTAAAGTGGGAGTACTCTTGACAATTTCTTGTGTAAAAGTACATACTTTAGGGTCATATTTAGTTGGTTGATAGTCTTTTGACCAAATACTTTTATGACGAGCTTGAATAATTTTCTTTTTTACAATTTTATCAGGAGTCTGAAACCACCAAATCAATAAGCCATTATATAAATATATTATGTTATCAAAGTAATGAGCACATTCTTACTAATTTAATATCTGGATCCCAATTATCTACTACTTCTAAAGACATAGGATCTATATTTCCCAGCGCAAGTTGATAAGCCTGATCAGAGGTTAGCTTTGAAACAAATACAGGTACATTAGAGTCTGGTATATCATTTAATGGTATTATTCTACGAGATAATGGATCGAATACAGGTTGGTATTGAAACATACGATCAGCATCCATAAACTGATCACGGTATTCAGGTGGAATTTTAATATTCACAAAAGATCCTAATCTCGAAAGTGCCTAAAATATTAAAATAACATTTACTAACTATTAGGTTAAAATAAATATAAGCAAAAATGTACTTTGTAGATATCCGGTTCACTTGTTCTAGTGATAAATTGTCGAGCTTTAGCCAATCCTACTCCAGGAACAGAAGGTAAATAATCACAGCCCGATAATATACACATATAACGAAATTTATCTAAACTAAACTGTTCAGGTTGGATATTCATTGAGAGATGTATTTTTTCTTGTTCAATTAATATACCAGCACCATTTTGATCTAATTTAAATAAAACCTGTAAGCATACTAAACGTTAGGATATTTTGGTATATTCAAAGCTAATTAATCAATTTTTTTACTCTTTTGCAACCAAACAGCAACAAATCTGAGTCTTCTGAAATAACTATATGAGCAATTCCGCTTAAATTTAAATATGCCAATTGAGAATCAGCTTCATATGGTGCTACAATACAATCAACATTAATCTCTCTGCAACGCTTAATAAGATTCAATGCCATTTTATGGGTAACATCGATACTCCGTCTTAAAAGGGATGAAGCTTGTTTTCCTTTATCTAAACGCATCAACTCAGCAGCTTTTTTTCGATTTTCTTCTCTTTGTCTAAATAACAATTATTATGATAGTGTAAAAACCAATCATTTGACAAACTAGATAATATATAATTGGTATAGCCAGGATTTTTCTTCAAGGAGTGCTGTTTATATGTTTACACAGAATTGGTTTAACAATATAGGGCCTTCCATAAGTTAAGCATACTGATGCCTAGGTTTTATTTCAGGTACTTTCATAGATCATAGAAATAATTTTTTTAATTTTCTTTAAGTGAAGGTGGAGAGGGGGGTTACAGTTCTACCAGCACACACCTTGCTACGCCACTGTGATATATATAATTATTTTATTACTTTTGGCGTTTTGATTCAGTATCAGCTTTAGCGGGTAAACGTTGTCCATCAAACACTAAAATCGGTTTGATGTTTTGATCTAATAACATAGACACAAATCGCATACAATAGTAAACATACCTAAAAAAAAATAAAATGATAACTAAATTAAATAGAATTTTAAAAAATATTAAATTATAAAAAGATCTTTTAACATGTCTCAAATTTTAAGTAAATTTATTTTTTAAAAAATATGATTACAATTAAAATGTTTAATTATCCTAATTTCTGTTAGTAATATTAATATGATATTTATGTAGTTTTAGTAGTGCAAGTAAAATTATTATGAAAGTTTACTTATATAGTAGGTATTATAGTAAATAGTAATGTTATAAATGTAACTTTATATACCAAGGGTAGCCAGCAATAAGAGTCGCAAGTTGCACAATAAAATCAAAAATAGTGTGAAGAGCAGGAAAAAAAATTATACCTATTATTATATTAGTCAAAATATTAAGAGGCGAGCAGCGGTTTGACCACCCCTGTCACATATTATTCAATTGGGATCGACAGAGAATTAAACAAAAATAAATATTAAGAACTGAAAGACACTGATAAATCCTTTTACTATCTTAACCCTTTGAAGGGCAACCTCAAAATGCATAAATTTAATCAGGGAGTAGATCAGGAATGAAAAATTGGAAAATAAATTATGAGTGAAGACGTATATGTAAGTTCTTTTTTTTACATACAATTTTTAGCAAAGACATTTAAATACATATTTTTTAATTTTACATATTTTATTTGAGGTATTTAACGGTAATTTAATCAGATGAAACACAAACAAACTAAAAAGAATTCGAGGGGAAAACATATATTTACGACAATGCTCTTTTTGACAGTGTATTTTAAAAACATATTTATATGTCTATGCTCCTGAAAGGGTCAATTCAATTTGGAGGACTGGAGCCTCAATAAATGTAATTCCAGTGTTATCCCAATGAATGAAGTTGCTTTAAATAAGTGATAACCTTTAAATCCTAGTTAGACTGATGCAAGTTTCATGAATACTAAAGTATAGTTTTTAATGCTGAATCTACGCCGTCTGGTTTTTGTTTTGTTTCTGTTTTTAAAAACAATTTAAATTGTCCTGTCTGTGTTGGGAAATGTTGAGTTTATGTTTTGTATGGATTTTTTTGTCCTGCGTGGACATTCTATGAAAAGTAAAAACCAGTAAAATATCTCTTAGCAATACCTATACTTTGTTAAAAGTAAAAACAGTAGTCAGCAGTGCAATGGTCAGACAAAGCTCGTTTGTCTTCCCCTAAGAGTCATCAATCTATACACGTCACGTGTAGAGTTGCCCACACCCGTGAGCACAACCTAGCCGCCGACTAATATTCTTATTTTTAACAGAGTATACTCAGTAGTATAAAATATATTTCTCAATTCTTCCTCTTAATTAATTATTTAATTATAATTACTATAAATTCCTTACAAAAAATATACCACTCAAAATGAGCTTAAAAGCTATTAATACAATAACTGTCACTTTAAACCCTACTGTTAATTTTCCAACCAATACCACATTGATATTTCTAAAACTCAAAACCTCCACACAGTTCAGACTAAGTTACACTAGTAAATTTAAAAAATGTTCAAACAGATTTTTGATTCTGCCGTTTTCAGCAACCAAATTAATTTGGGTATGTAAAATTAATTTAGTTGTTAAAAATAGCACAATACGTGAATACATTTTTTAATATTCTAAATAATGTTGTTTCACTGAGACAAGCTACAAAATCAGCATAAACCTTTAATGCCGGGTTGCAAGAAAAAAATTATTAATTTAACGGCCCAATAAAATTAAAATGGACCAATCATGGGCCGCTAAACCATATTTAAGGGATCATTAGCTCACTATTGATTCGTTAAATGTTAAGTGATTGTTTATGCAACCAGGCATAAGAATATTATTAGTTGTACTTACGCTTGACTATCCTCTCCTCTTGCCAATTTCTCAGCACAAGTATATACACCTCTATGTAACCAACAATAAGCGTCAATGGCCACAGTACATCCGGAAAATTCCGATACATTAACGGATCTCCATGATTTTTCTAAAAGAGGTATTAGCCCTTGAATACCCATGTTCCTTCTAACACGGATTGAATAATCTAGCTGTGCTTCAAATTTCAATTATTGGTCTGCCAGCGTTTAATCCGCGGACAACAGAAACGTACGATTATTATAAATGTATAAAAAAAAAATAATATATACGTATAATACAATATACTTGGCGAGATCAATAGAATTTTTCTACTACAAGTGTTTTCGCAGAAATTTGTTCAAAGTTATGTTGAAATTACTTTTGTACATCGTATCATTTTTGTTGTATTTAACCGCCAAAATATTGATAGCATCATACATTTTTATTTTATACCACGGACTACGGTCCGTGTCTTATACCCTGGTTAACATTTTATTCGACCGTTGACTCAATTTGATTGGTCCCATAAATGATCTCTTTTTCGTGGTCCTGTGTTTGATAAAAATAATAATTTCAGCTGTTTTGCTCTGCAAGCTGTAGTTGGTATCAATAAACATTATGCATTTTAGGTTAGCTCCGTCCTACTCTTTCTGGAAGACTGAAGATTTTCAATCAAACTTAAAACTTCTTAATTTCTTATCGACCGTTTATTTTCAATACTAAATACTTAGTAAATACGACTACTTCAAGATTAAATTATTTCTGTTATAATAAAAACACTAGTTAAAATGTTGTTAACCACTCCACTCCGTATGTTTGGGCGACATTTGCGGCCTTTGTCGAAGAAGTATGTACGAACAAATTAATAATCTTTATGATCATTCAGAATCTAAACAGACATATTTTTATTTCACTTATAGAACATTAAGAATGTACTCTGCGGCTACGCAGCCATTGACTGTACCAGAGCCAGATGGAAGCCAACTAACAAGCTCTCCCAAGTTGGAAAAACTGTATACAGAAATCTCTTCCTTGACGATGATTGAAGTGTCAGAGTTCACTGAATTATTAAAAGTTCGTCTTAACCTAAAAGACATTCCCATGGGAGCAATGGTCAGCGCCCCAGCAGCAGCAGGACAAGTAAATTCTATTTTTAAAAAACTTACTAAACCAGTTTCAAAATGATAGTTTTAATTTTTTTTTTCTAAAGGATGAAGAAGAAGAAGTAGCTACAACAGTCAAGACGAGTTTTACTGTTAAACTTATGAAATTTGATGATAAACAAAAGGTTGCCTTGATAAAAGAAGTAAAAAACTTATTGGAAGGCATGAATTTAGTACAGGTTAGTACTGCCTAGAATAATTATGTTCATATTTTCATAATCTAGATATTTCATATAATACTGCAATTTCAGGCTAAAAAGTTTGTTGAAAGTGCCCCTACGGTTATCAAATCAGATATTGGTAAAGATGAAGCAGAGAAATTAAAAGAAGCATTTACTAAAGTAGGAGCTGAATGTGTAATTGACTGAGTTATACTCATTTGTTATATTTTAATAATGTATAATTTTTTTTTTTAATTTCACAAAGTTTTAACAGTTAATGTAAGTAGTCAATATTCATAATGTATCAATAAAGTTTTATATATGATATCATTATATTTAAAGCATTTAATACCTGTCCTGTTTTTTGGGGGGTTAATGCTGACAACAATATGTGCACATTATACAATAAAACCTTGACAAATTGTAATTTTTTGCTCAAAAATTAATTATCAGTTGTCTCTGAACTTTTTCTAAGGTTTGAAATATAATATACCTGATATTTAATTGATATTAAATTAATAGGCAAGATAAACATCTTAAGTATCTTAACATTTACTTGAAAATTAAAAAAAAATATGCTATTATTTTATGATAATAATCATAACTTTTGTTCTCAAATTTTAAATTTAAAAAAATATTTAGTTCAGTAATATTATTTAAAACCTCCATATAGTTAGTAATTTAAACTTGTACAAAATGTAACCTTCATATAGTCTGTACTAGAATTCAGAAATAGAATATCAACTATTTTTTTTGTTAGTATAAACAAATTAACAGTGGTAAAACACTGTAATCAATTAATGCAATTTATTGTGGAACTAGTGATTATATTAAGACTGAGCCTTTACTTTTTCTGTGGCTAATAATAGAACTGGGTGTAGTGACCACTCTATAGGATACAGGGAATGTTTGCTTATTCAATTATTTAATGTTCTAACATGAACTTGGTAAAAGTTTATACAGTGATTAAGAAGATAAGAATTTATTTATAAATTATAAGGGACTTGCATACTTTTTACTTTGTGAAATAACTATAACATTTTATTGTAATTAAGTTAAGCACAAGATTCTATGTGAACCTATATATTGTTTTTATTTAAATATGACACGTAATTGAGTTACTGTAGGTTAAAACTATACTAAAAAAATGTCTTAGATTTTTTTATACATTCTAGTTTACTAACCGAGGAGGATGCACAAAAACAGTTATCGGTAAAAACTAAAAATGTATACAGTGTCTATAAAAGTTTGAGAATCCCTGGTGATGTTATGAAAATGGTCAGTCCATATGGCTTGGTGTATCACTATGTATATTTCATCTTATTAATTTTGATATTGCCATTAAAGAATTTATTTTACTAATAGTAGTATGATAGGTTTTAACCCAAAACATTGCTTTTTTTATATTATTAATATTTTTTTTTAATAGTATATATTTTAATCATATTATATTATTGTTATTAAGTTTTGAGTACCGCATTACCATAGAGCAACAGTATGAATAGTTTCACGGTGTAATAGGCAATAGCTTAAAATGAATCAAAAAGTTTTAAAAATTCCATCGTGTGCATAAAATATAAAAGTATATCTAAAAGGTTCAAACTGCAAAGAAAAATATTTTTTAAATACAACAAAATAACTAGAAATTAGTTTTTTTTAAAGATTAAACATCAAATGTCATTAAAAAAAAATTAAGTTAATATATTTTTCAGATTGTTTGGTTTTAGTCTTCAGTTTATGGACTACTTATGAGGAACCTCATATTAAATGTTCAAGTCTTAGCTATAAAAAATAAATGCTACATTTTTAACTACAAAATAATTTACAACTTAATCGATTTTAATCAATTTTGTCAAAATGTTAACTTTAAACCTAATCAAACCTTAAAAAAAATATTTTGATTATGTATATTTGATATTTTTTAGTTGGTTATTGGTATATGAACAACTTATAAAAAACCTTGTATAAACTTTTCAATTTTTTGATGTAAAATATTTATAAAAAAACTAAAAATAGAAAATGTCAAGTATGAAAATTGAGGAATCATAGATATATTTTTGGGAATAATGCACTGGAAAAACATGTAGTATCTAACATGCTACATTTTGTTAGGAATTGAATTACATTTTTTTTATATTGTTGATTTTCGTTTCTATGGCAATTAACAAAGCGTTACGAAAATCGGCCTCACGAAAATATGTTACAAAACATAAAAATAAACGTTGTACCCAGCCCAAAAATATATCTATGTTAAAAAAAATAATGCAAAACATGCGTGACATTAATATAAATATAATTACGCATTATTATAATTGTAGGTTTATAATTTTAATAAAATTAAATACAAAAAATTAAAATTAAAAATATTTCAATTGACTTTAGGTGTATATGATGTATAAACTTAAATAACAAATATAGGTAGGTATTAAAAAAAAATCATGGTTAACCTATATAAGATATTTGCATCCAGTAAAATAAGCACTTAAGCACATAATTATATCATTAAGATAACAAAAGTATCAAATAAATATATATTTACAAATAATTTAATCATCGTCTAATGTTTAATCAAACGTATAATCTGTTCACTGTTTTTTAAAATGTATTTGTTCCAATTCTATACAAAACTAATAGGGAAAACCAAATGTAAATTATTAAATTACAATAAAATGTATTCACAATTCACATCATAAACTTAATTAAACAACAGTAGATATCAATATTCATTACATAGGTATTTTATATCAAAAATTATTGTGCATTACTATTTCAAAAAAAAACATAATAATTTATATCTACGATGTTCGGACGTTCTAAATTCTGAACTACATAACTAAGACATTAAATCCTATACGCTTTTTTTCAATTTCCAACCTTTTAAAATGTACACAATTTTCGATACTTTTTATCATTCAAACGGGCTTGGCGTATATAATGGTTAAATGTATCATTACTTATGTTTAGTAATCGTTGATAATAATATATGTAATTTACATAATAATTAGGTATTGATTTAGAGTGAAATGTAAATGTTCATAGTGCGTCTGAAACACTTGCAGTTCGGCACCTACCTGCACTTTCCGGTTTACAGTTAGGAAATATTTAAAATACACATAAATACATAATATAATATTATTACCTATAGTATAATATAATATACAGCTATAAATAGTTTAGTACTTAAATATCTGTTGTGAAAGTATTTAAACCAGCTTAATATAATAATATGTTTGTATAATATATATAATTGTAAAGTAGCCTCGAAGTAAGCCCGAAGACCTCACGAAAAATAGTCGAGGAGGTGCAAATAGGTCGTTCGAAAAAACGTCGAGTTAATGTTTAATATTATATTTTCACGCTTACGGTAATAAGCGGCTTTCCATAAACGCATTAATGGGTAAAAACATGGGTGTGCTTTTTTATGATACGATTAGTTTTTCATATTCCGAGGAACCTATTATATTATATTCAATACTTCTTGAAAATAATCTTAAATATCTTTTTGGCTTTTAGCATTTAACAGTTAGTTTTAATACGTACCAATATGTATATTGTATAAGTATAATATGATATTTATAATTACGATTTGGTCTAAAATTATATATTTTACCATAATTATACCTACCTACGAATATAATTGTATAAAACATTTGGGTTCTATATTATAATATATTATTATAATGTGTTAATAATAAGTAATATTACATATGATATCGTGTGTGTGGAGACAAATTTTTTATTATAGGTAGCAGGCTTGTTTTTCTGTCCTCGCGAATATTATTGCTGTTGAACAGTCGATGCAGTTCTTGACTTTTTCCAATCGCTAAATATCAGGTACACTCCAGTCCCGTACACAGCCGCGTTGATAATTCCGAACACCTAATCGTTGCAGGAAAACGAACAAAAAAAAAACAGTAATATTAGTAAGTATACCTATACAGATAACCGAGTCACTACGAACATTGAATCCGTAATACACGCTTATTGTATTCGGAGTGTTACTTTGAACGACGAACACTCGCATTATATTATTTTTTTAAATTCAAAAGGTTTACCAGATACGAGCTAAGCTCAGTAGGTGTACGTATTTATATACCATATAATAAGAGCTGATAATATGGTATATAAATGTATTATAATGTTATTGAATTATACTGTACTAAATGAATAAATAAGTATCTTAATTCTAAAAGTCTAAAGTCTTAACGTGGTACAGCTTCAAATAGGTACGCTGCTATTCATAAAATTACAGTCAGCTACTAACTACCTACTCCGGTTATCTAAACTTCGAATAGCTAGGTGCCAGGTACATATGGAAAATAAACACAACTGCTCCTTCGAAATTTTATTTATATCTATAAAAATCATCTTCTTTATGAAAAACAAAAATATATTTTTAAAAACTTTAATAGGTACTTTTCAACGTACTGAGAGTTCGCCTACTGTTAAATTAATTATCCTGCAGTATTATCATAGCACACTTACCCCTGCAGCTATGTTTGGGTTCCTGTAATAAGACTGATACGGCCTGGACCAGGCCGCAATTTGTACGATGAACGCGACCGTGTATAGGACGGTCAATAGAAGCGTGTTGAAGAATTCCTGAAAAAAATTTATGTTTCGTATTATTATAATTTATAATATTTTATTGGCAACAAAATCGTGATGGTGAATTTTTATCAGATAGTTAGTGTATGTTTTGTGTATTCTGGGTTCCAATTTTTTAAACTTTATAGTACCTACTGGACACTGCCGTGTCTCATGGCAAGGTGGTTTAAGTCTTAAATAGTATGGGTCATGATGTATAGAGAAGATCTTGTCTACTTTGTGTTTTGAGTATACTGTGTGCAATACTTAGTATGTAAAAACTGTTGTATTTTATGAATCACAGTTATTTTCTGTCATAATAAGACTATAAGAATATAACATTTTTTGTTAAAGTATTGTCATAATTACTCTGTAGGTACCTACTCTATATTATTAGGTATCGTCAGTATCGGAAAAAAATACTTGGATTAAACTTACAATCTACATTTTTATCCCCCAGCTACCATGATAGTACCGAAACGAGCTAATTTGTCCAATCCAAAATTGAATGGCTATTTATAGAACTTTTATGAAACTTACAGATACATTGGTCGAAAGCTATATATTTGTGTGTTTTTCTTGTGTTTGACCATGAGGTAATATATACTATGGTACGTGTAATGATATAATAATAATAATAATAATAATAATACCGTAAGCACCCAATTGATTGGGAAATTAATAGCCTCCCGAATGGAGAGTAGGTAGACAAACGACCAGATGGCCGTTGCTATGAAACTGATGATGACCACGAACAGGAACCAATTGGTACCCGGTAACCTGGCCGGCGAGGCAAGTGCCAAACATATTATGCCGAGTATCTGAAATTATAAAAAAACATTTACGTTAAAAAAAAGTCATTGTCAATCGGCAATCGACGATTACGCTATATGCAAATATATAAAATAAATTTATACATTTATAAATCATAAAATAATAGGTATGAATATTCATCACGATTATTGAATACTGATAAATGAAAATTATCATTGTAATCGTGTTGAGAATATAAATAATATAATATTATTATAAGGTGCAGTTGTTCTCATTCTCATAATATATCACTGATGTACGTATTTTCACGTCTATTCGCAATGTTTGAAACTGTATGTATTTCTATGTACCTATAGTATAACTATAATTGAAATAGGTTAGGATATTATAGTACCGATTATTCGGTGATTTGATTTTTAAAGGAAAACATTTATTTAAAAAACTACGTAAGCAATTTTTGCACAAATTGAGGTAATGGTTAATGCGAGGTCATTAAAAAACAATATTTTTGAAAAATAAAATTGTATTTTCTGTCATTTTTAATCTTTAATCTTTAATCTTTAATACAAGTTGTTCTACTTTTTTTTATGTACATTTTTAATTTCACATTACTAAGCAGAATATTTTCCGGTTTGATAACCCATTTAGAAGTATTTTAAGTTTTTATGAGCGGAGTGGAGTGAATCAGTATTCAGGGTGGGTAACCCCGTAAATGTCGATCCACAACTGTTCACTTATGTAATCTAAGTTATGACTAATAATTAACTATACTATATAGTTAGAAATTCGACTTTTATTCATTAAAAATACTTTGAAAAATATTTTGCTTTTGGAATTAAAAATGTGCGTGTTGTTATTCATAAAAGCAAAAAACTTACCTATCAAAAATGATAACTGTAAAATGTACATTTTTTTCACACAAAATTTCATTTTCTAACGACTGTAATGAATTAGGCAAAAAAGTATTTTCAAAACCGTTTATAGTTTTCGAAATAACGAGCGAGGCTTCCGGCATGTATATCAAACAATATTCTATCGGTACCAAAACATAAAGGAACCTTTAACAAACCCGATCGCCCACTACATCACACGCAGCAACAGTTGTACCCACTAATCGTTAGTGACTAACGATATCAAAATATATTTCGACGAATATTACTATACCCATATATACGTTACACCCAGTACAATAATATAATGACGATTTAATCTATTTCAATACACTCGTGTTGTAATAAGACGTGTGCGACTGTATTATTGTATATATGTGTATATTACAGGTACGTAAATAGGTATAGACGCGGGAAAAAAAACTAAAAACAGAAACGAAGGTCACCCATATACCTACATAATGTCGTATTACACGTATAGGCAGATGGATGATATTATTAGATGTTTAATAATCGTTTGCAATGACTGAATACGATACGTATTTAATATAATAATATGTACATAATAATATCTACACGTCGATAATATTATAATATTAAATCATAGTTCTCCAAATGCGGTATATAAAAATATAATATTATTATAGAGGACAATTAATGCCGCACGCGCGAGCTTCTCTCAACACGACGATGCGGCCCACGCCACCAAGTCTCTTGGCCATGAAAACCGACGAATTCACAAGCCGCCGACGTTTTGTCGGTATTGTGTTTGTACATTGTACCCCATAACCTACATATCTATATATATTAATAATTAATGTATATATATACATCAAGTACAACCGCGGCCGCTTATTTTTATGACCGCACGGTCCGCACGCGATTCAGGGTGTGATTGCGGTGTCTAACGATTTTCCCGCCGAAAACCCCGTAATAAAATATATATTAATATTGTACAATATAATATTATACGGCACGCTGAGCGAAAATAATATTATAACGACCAAGGTAACCTATTTATTATAATATATAAGGTGCAATACATATTACAATAAGCGCGTGACATATTATATTAAAAACAAAAAACTGCGCGTTAAAGTTGTTCATCTGGCGCAGCGCTGCTTATATTTATATACATTTTTTTATGCGCTTTGTCGATTACAGCGCTCTCACCCACAGTTTTCAAGTTTTCAAGTTTTTTAAACGAATATAATATTATTACTTCGGGTGGTTTGAGAACGGAATAAACAGATGTTTATGTTTAATGTACATAATAATATAATAAAATGCACAATAACAATGTGCGCACGACGCCACGACGACACATGCACAACAAACAACCGGCACTGCATTCGTTGCGTCGTTGCGATATTCAAAAATGCCGCTAATCGTCCCTAGTAACCCCCTCCCCTGTACCTTTGGGACCAATACATTTAACTCCTAAAGTGTGTCTCTTTACACTTTTAATCTGAAAAAACTGCTGCAAGCCGTATAACTGAGGGTAAAAAAACTTGCGGCTATTTAATGTTTATTAGATGCTTTGCGTTTATATAAAACTCACCATATTTTTAATTAATTTTAAATGTTCTGGCCCGCTAAGAACTTTAAATTGTATGCATGGTCCTCGAGTAAAAAAGTTAGGAGTTCCTTTGGCAAAATACTGTGATTTTTTTAGAGGTTTATATACATTTTTAAATTTTTTCCATCTTGTATGGGGAGAGGTGATGACCGAAAAAAATGATATGTAATATACACAGAAATGAGATTGGCTAGGAATTAAAATATATTAATCACACTAAAGTCGTCGGACAATGTCGCACTATCTTTCAGTATTTATAATTAACCTTGACTTGTAGCTGGTTTCGACCAGTTAGTACTTTAGAGGCGATGTCATAATAATATAATGACAACGGTTAGCGTGTTTGCGTCAAGACACGTTAAACTGATTTTACAAAACTTAAAAAATTTGAATATTTTTTTATGTTGCCCGTTTCCCAATGAGTATTTGAAAATAGCTTCCACGCATCTATATAATATGGTCTCGACGGTGTATTTGACTGAACTGAATGTGGTTAAGTTCGAATCTAGTCGGAGATCTCTGAGTGGGTTGACTTTGGAATTATGGCTGTGGTGGAAATAATAGAATAAATCATATCTGGCTTCTTTGAGGAACATAATCATTATACTGCTCTGTCACAGTGGCTTACACAGTTACACGGATATTTTGAATGGGAGAAGTTATACTAAATAACAATATAATATACAATTTTATATTACCTATTATTATTATTATTATTGAATTATTATCATGTTTAAATTTGAATTGTTTTGTGTTAAATTACTGTAAAGGGCTTTGCCCGTTAATATATATAAATAAATAAATAATAGAATCAAAATATATTTTTAATTTTATTCATTTTGATACATCTATACTTGTAGTAAAAATGGGAGACTCGGACTGGTCTGTAAACTTATTCGATTCTTTGATTTTTATTGATTTCGAATGGGTTTTAAGAAAAAAAAAAATTTTCCCCGTCCTATAATAAACCATTGATTAAATATGAAACACCCATAGTCACAGTGGTCAGACGACAGACACTCGTCCATCCCCTTAGTTTCGCCACTGATATATACCAAATATACAGTGTTATGGCACAATAATAAATGAATATAGAATATAAATGTTAAATACCTAGGTAACTATACCACACAATGAACGATGTTACCACATGAGTACAGGAGTGGACACTATTGAAGCCACGACGTTTATACAGGTATGTCGGTATATTATAATAATTTATTGCCGAAAGACGATACGTGGTGTGTGCATAATATTTTACTTATCGACCGATCGATTTCATATTATTATTCCCATCACCGCCACAGTCGCTGTTTAGTATTTTCTTTTCGCCGTCTCGCGTATATAGCGGTTAAAGTACCGTTCGCGCGAGGCACACTCTGTAATGCACTAATGCTACATCATAAACGCATACATATTATATTATAGAAGGACGACATGTCCACATAGGTAAGTGCACCTATTTATATATATTGTATATAATATTATGTAAAATGTATACACTGCCCCGCGAGTCGACTGAAAGAGTGGTTTTCAACAAGAAAAATCCCCGAACAATGGCTATTGCTACCACACGAATCGCACATCACCGATATGCCTGTTTATTGTTATTATTATTATTATTATTTCTATATTATATAACCGTGATATAATAATGTTTGCACTGCACTGCACGACGACGGCGACGAGCCTCGAGTACGTGCAGATATTTTTCCATTGAAAAAAACCGATTTTTGTACATTATTTTATATTATTATGTATAGGTAGGTACTAGAAAATTATACCGTACGATTTTCGACCGAAACCCGGCAAAGAGCTAGCCAGTACGACGTCGTCATTATTATTATTTTTACTACTATTATTATTATTATTATTATTATTATTATTATTGTATATGAAATTGTTTTGGTAGTTTTGGATAAAAAAAATATAACTCACGTTATAGGTATATCATAATAATATTACTCGGCATAAAATTAATTATTCTGCACGCAGCACTGTAAAGCATCTTAAGAATTTTACCGTATTTTATAAAATAATACAATATATTATGTATACATCCGCAGTGGCAGTATGCACGTATATAATAGGTAACCTGCAATAGATATACCGTATACCGTATTTCTGCAGCATACTCAATATATAATATAATATTAATTTTATTATATATAAGGACGACTGTGAACGATGACCTCTTTCGCCTTTGAGCACGCAATCAATTATAATATGTCAAATATATAATATTATTATAGACATAAGCATAATGTATCATTCATATATAATATTATTATAATTACAATAATTATATTTAAACATTATCATACCAGTATAATATTCCTGCAAGAAACACCAACAAACACTAACTATACCGGAAACGGTCCTTGCAATTCTTGACCCGACAACTACCGCAGGAAGCAATACTATGATTATCCTCTCCACCAATATGAAGCCGGACTCGGACCGTTAATGTAGCAAAACATCGAGTGAAAACACATTGCAAATAATTATAATTTTAAGAGTTGATTGGTAAGTAATTGGTAATAATTCACAGGCGATGCCTTACAATAATAGTTATTTG